CCTTGGTCTGAGCACAAAGCTTCCTAGATTGAAATTCAAATGTGGGCCTAACAAAATGAAGTCTGAAAATGTGCCAGTTGAACCCCCTAGTGTGAACCATGACACTGAATCACAAAGGGCAACTGTTGTTATACAGGCACCAGCAAATACAGATAGAGAAGAGGTGGAAAGTTCCCAACAGAAAGGGCCATCTGCGGAAGCGAAGAAAGAGCTGCATCGATATCATAAGAAAATTGTAATTACACTTCCAAAAAACCTATTGATTTTAGATCATGATCATCAGGTCGATTTGCTTAAAGAAAATATACAACTTTGACTTCATCTCAGATGGCAGAAGCATCAATGAAAGAAAGTAGTTGCATCTCTTGTGTAAATTTATGACTCTGAGTTGTAATTTGCATGACAATCATTTAACCAATAATACCATCTTTGAAATAAGACTTTCTCTTTATGACTCAGAGTTGTAATTTGCATAACAATCATTTAACCAATAATTCCATCTTTGAAATAAGACTTTTTCTTAAAGATTTTTCTTCCCAAAACTATAGCTGCCTCCCAAAATTTGTCCACATACATATCAGTTCTGAAATAATTTGTGAATGCTCAAACAATAATTCTTCGGTGAAAGGCAACCAAGACACCAGCAAACAAAGTTACAGAACTAAAGTTAATTTCAGGGTGACAAAGAAAGAGACTCTACATCTATCGAAACACATGTACACTAAGATACTTAAAAGAAAACTTACGAATCAATAGGCTGCTTGAGAAAAGTAGAATTATATGATACGGTGACAGAACAACTACTTTCATTTCGAAATTCATTTTGAAATCTTCTTAATGGGGAATATGTAATTGCAGCTTCTTTGGAGCAAAGGACAATAGCTTGTCACTATCATCAGTATATATTTCAACATACATTCAAATATACATAACCTGTATTTTCTGCTCACTAGTGTCTGACAATCTCAAGGATATGCTGATATCTATAACTTGCATTGGGCAGATATACAATTTCTCATTAAGTTATAACTTATAATTAAAGGAGTTTTATCAAACTCACTTAACACAACAAATTGACAGACATTATTGAAATGATTAAACATTTCAATGAGGAAAAAGAAAAGAAAAAGACAACTCAAGGAGTACCTTTTCTGAATATTGTCAGATGATGAAACACAAACTTGCCGAGCAAACATATTGATCATTTCATCCACCTCCTGTCTTGATACTGTTGGCGAGTCTTTGTTTGACAGATACTTCATTTATGTCTCGAATCTGCAGATTATATACAAAAAGGTAATAGTAGTTTAATGTTAAAAAAAATTTGTGAAGTGATCCAACAGGAAATGTCGTTTGAATCCAATTTTACCTTATTTAGTAATAAGGATTTTTCTTCGGTGGCTCTTTCAAGAGCAGTTGTGACAGAAGTGAGAAAAGAACAAAGCAAACTATGGGAGGAGTTGTCGTCGGTGTGGTGAAGTGAACATGTCGTTTGGAAGAGTGCCAAGAGAGAAGAGAATAAGGCGGGAAACATGGAGACGAATGGAATTAGATGAATTAAGAGTCTCATGATCTGCTCTTCTATGGACCTGACTTGTGCTTCACTGCTTCGGCTTCCCAGCCTCAAGCTCAAATTTGCAACTAAATTTTTTCAATTTCGGGTTTCAAACTTTCAGTCAATTGGCTAGGCAGGCGCTAGGCTTACTCTAGGCGGGCGCTAGGAGGCTAGGTGGTTTCTAGGCTGGCGCTAGGCAGCTAGGCGGGCTCTAGGCGGTGGCTAGGCCGGCTCTAGGCAGCTAGGCCGGCTCTAGGCGCTAGGCGGTGGCTAGGCCCGCTCTAGGCGGCTGGGAGGTCGCTAGGCGGCTAGGCGGTCGCTAGGTGGTTTCTAGGCAGGCTCTAGGCGATGGCTAGGCTGTCGCTAGGTGGCTAGGCGGCTAGGCGGTCCCTAGGCGGGCTCTAGGTCGCTAGGCGGCTAGGCGGCTTGGCAATTGCTAGACGGTCGTAGGCGGCCAGGCGGGTTGGGTCTTTTCTCGGTGCCGAACCTCGGAGGACCAAGCAGTGACTGCGAGTGCAAGTTCCGTCCTCTGCGAGTGCAAGCTTCGTGTTCGTTGGAATATATTTAAATAGTATAGCCGCACGGCTATACTGTTAAAATATTCGGATCTGTTTAGAAAAGAAAGTATAGCCGATCGGCTATACGTAAAAAAATTCGAACTGCACATCATATAGCCGAACGGCTATACTTTTAAATATACAATTTTGTCATATTAGTTTAGGGTTTGCGGCTAAAATACAAATAACATGATAAAAAAGTTCCAACTGCACATCATATCTCATTGAAAAATCTATAAATTACCGTCCAATTTCTTAAATTACCGTGACAAGAAGATGAACTAGGTATGCACAATGCTAGAGGATGGTGATAGCTCTCTTTAGAAGGCATAAGGTAGTTCTTTGTTAATAAGTTACAAAAATTTGGAATGCAAAGTTCTTCACCATATAAAATCAGATTCACCTCGATACAGTCATATCGATGGATAATGCCAAGATATTAAGCAGCTGCTTTTTGTTCTTGTGTATTCGCTTTGTCTGCACATCAAACATTGCATCTAAACTAGCCTGCAGTTGAAAGTGTTAATAAATTTCAGTGTAATCTATTAGACATACCTTCAAGACAAAAGAGAAAAGATGAACAGGATAGAAGTTCTAAGAACTTGTGACCAAACCTTCACACCACTCATTGCTTCAATGTACTCAGCGAGCCTCATTTTGTTAACCTTCTTAACCTACAACACAAGCAAATATACAACAGATTTAAATAATAATAATAATAATAATACAATAGAAGCCAAAAGCTTAATATATTTTTGGTTCCTAAGCAAATATCAAGCCTAGAGAGTACCATCATCCGTTCTTGTTGAAGGTCAGGATCTGCTGCATATGCTCGCAAGCTAGTTGCAAGCAATGTCCCACGCTTTATTCCAACCCAAATGCTCTTCACCAACAAGCACTCTCATGACCTCAGCTATTTTCAAGAGATAGGTGGGTATCACTGACCAGCAGAGTACCCTAATTAAGACAAGGAAAAATGAGCCTAGGAAAAAAGGAAACAGAAAAGCAAACATGAATGACCATCAGAGGAAAGCAATAAATATAAGTTCATTGTAGCTAAACAAGCTGCCAGATTGGGTATTCCCTATAAATCAACATATGATAAAACACATACTATTAAGAATTAGACCTTCTCTGGAAATTCATCAAAGTTACTGTGAGCCTCTTTATATCTCCGAATTATGTCTTATATGGATGCTGAGACAAAGACATATATTGTTGCTTCAATCGCAGTTCCTTTCCCTGTAATACAAAATAAAGTGGAAAGGGAAACATACTAAATGAGAATATCTATGAGTTATCCACATAGAAACCAGGTAACTGAGTTGATGACTTTTCTCCGGAACTTCTAAGAGAGTACATTTTCTCAGAAACATGCAGATAAAACAAAAAAACAATAATGATGTTTAATGTTTACATGGTGGATAGAAACACAGGGAAATAAGACATGCAAAAGTAAGAAGGAAAGCTTGGTGTTGGGGAGAGATATACGACTTTGGGGGCATAGGCATGAAGAAAGACGTGCAAAAGTAAACAAGGAAGGTAGAAAAAAGGGACAGGACGTTAAGTTTGACATTATTTGGGTTAGAGTAATTATTATTTTTAATTAAGAGTAAATTGGGTTTTTGCTTGAAGAATGATGTGTCAATTTTAAAGTCTCTTATATTATATTTAATGAGGTGGCGTACGGAAGACAAAAGTCAAGCATATCCAAGCAAAGGTAAAGTCAGGAATTTAAGAGGAGAAATTGACAATTCCCTTGTTTGGCAAGTTAAGCTCAGAATTTATTAAATGACGCGCGGAAAAAATCATGGAAATTGGAGCATCAAATTCCAAGTTTAATTTCCATCAAAATAGGAGTCATTTAACAATTTCCATAGTGTCATTTACAAAATTCGATATACATAAATCCAAACATTGCAATCTTCAATTGCCAGAAATTGAAATGATAGAAATCAAAATTCCGTCATTTTAGAATTCTATGTAATTTTCAATTTTTCATCCAAACAAATGGTCATATTTCCCTCCTATAATAAACTAAGATCATCATTTAATACAACATTCAAGACCAATTTGTCCCCATTAACAATTTAGAATTACAATTTTATCCAACAACAAAAACCCTTTGTAATTTTTATTTTATTTTATATATTTCTAACTTAGGTATAATTGAAAAACTAACCAAAGTTTGCTTTCCATTGTAGAGATGAGAGAAACGCATGCTAGTCTAAATACTTATTAGTATTACCAGTCAATGAAAGATTGAATTTCTTCAAAATGCTAAAAAAAAAAAAAACTTTAATTTTAATTACCAAGTGCCAAAATCCACATATGGAGTCGAACTTGTACATGTATGAGTATGACACGAGTTGTTTTCTTTTCTCTTATTTTTTGTCTTTTGGTGTGGAAAGCTTGCGGCCTTTTTACCTTTTATTTTTGGACAAGTTATGTGATGTTTTTAATTTTTTACCTTCTCACAAAAAAGTTGAAACTTTTAATTTCTCCCCCTAACAAACTTATTGACAGATGAGTTCGTTTTTCTATTCCCCTCCTAAACTAAAGTTGGTTTAGAGGACTTTAGTTGGCTTTGCTAAAGACTCTTTCGTTATAAGAGGCAACAAGATGACATGAGAACAGAAAACACAGCACAATCTTAACTACTGTTTACACAATACCAACTAGAGCTCTTGCATCTTTTCACAATGTTGGAAGAGGCGCAAGATCGAATCTCCCGTCTCCGTTAATAAATAAAAAAAACTATAATTAACTTAACACAGCATAAGATAAAGGATCAGATAAGGAGAGAATCAATGTTGATTAGGAAACTACACATGCTAGCGCAAGCTTTAGCAGAGCAAGAACAAAGAAACAAACATCATATTAGTACCTGGCCAGTGCCACCAAGGCTAATGGGCTGGACTGGCAAGATTTTTTTACTGCTGTTATCCAATGGTTCACGTTCAAACTGTGTTTTTTTTCCAAATAACTAACAGCCATCTCAATATCTAACGGCCCACATTCAATCAAATTAAGTTCAACAGTAGAAAATAGAATCCAAAGTTTTACTATCTATCAATCTAGCTCATATCCAAATTTTCACGAACTCCTTCCTGCATATATATCATGATGGCTTTAACTTTTCAAGCTCCATCAACGAGCTCAAGGGCATCGATCTCATCACCATCTTCCATTCCAAGCTGCACAAAGTTAAGTAGCAACTAATAAGAATCAATGGACACATGATTGAAAACAGAAATATATAGTGCTTGACTTTAAATTCCACAAGAAGCATAATTTTTGTTCAAACTGGCTTTGATGCATCAAAGGGCATCAGCTAGTAAAGTAACAATCATTTCACCAACAATTAAATTACAGCTTATGATGACCTATCATGAATTCGATGGTAGTCGAACCTAAGCCCTATCCGATGTAACACAAAGCCAACAAGCTATAAAGGGTAATTTTTAGCTCTATACAAGTCATGATGCATAATATAATCCCCACTTTGGAGAAATACAACAATAATCTACATTATCAACTACAAGTAGCCCACTACTAATTGCACTGAGCCCTTTCGAGTGAAAACCATAAATGTAGAGGGTCCATTGAGCATTCTCTCACCCGAAAGGTAGTATAATATTTAGTTCACGCTTGGACTTAGTAGTGCGTTCCTACAAGGCCCGTGACACAACTCTAGCAACAATGAAATTTATTTTCATGCTTAACATTCTAAGTAACGTTTATGAACTTTTACCTCCTCCGGAGTTTTGTTCTTCTCGAGTCCGACGCCATCAAACGTGAATTGCATTGATTTGGGGTCAAGGGAACGCTTTTTGCAGAATGCTTCCATGAGTTTTTGCAGTTTGATGCTTCGTTTAACCCGGAAAAAAGTTTGAACTCCATCCTACACGTGGATCTCATCATATAACAAATGAATCCCATCAAACTATAGTGGATCTATTTATTCTAAGATATGGCATTATAACTCATTGATAATTTGGTGATATTCAACAGAGAAAACATGAAACTAAATAAGGTACGGCGGGTAGAAAAGTCAATGTACACAGTCAACAGAGAAAACAAAGAAATTAATCAACAAAATAAATAAACAAGAAGGAAAGATGATTGGTAAACTAACAAAACATTGAAATTTAGGGGGAAAATAATGATTGGTGCTTGAGTTAATTGAGGGCAATTAATATAAAAATCATGAGAGAGAAAATATTTTATCCATCTTAGTTCTTACATAAACCCATCAACCCCCGAAGTCTCCCAGTAACCTTAACGGAAACCCAATTTCTTCCTTTCATTTCGTTATAGGAAAAGGAAAATTAGAAAGAAAAAAAAAAAACAAGGTTAACATTTTTCATTAACAACACATGCAAGGAAAAGAGTGGGAGAGAATCAAACCTTGTTGTACTGAACCTTGAGCTTCACAGTGTCTTCATCAGATCGACCTCTAGACATCTTAAGAGCTGGGGGTTTTCCTTTCTCTGTGTAACTGTGTTGTGTTCTTGGGAGCTTTTTTTGGAGTCAGAAGTTCTGTTCTTGGGAGCTTTGTGTCTTTGTGTTTTTCTTTCGGTTTTTATTTATTTAAGTTTTGTGTGAAATAGTTCATGCGTACGTACTACGTACATAGCTTTGAAGAGAAGAGCAGGTGAGGTGCAATCAATGTAATAGATTTGGGAAGGTTACGTGCTGCACCAACTTCAGAGACTGACCCGTGACTTTCCCTCTTTTGGTAAATAAAATTATGACTTCAAAATTATTTTTAATAAATGATTTCAAAATGAAGGGTATAATGGTAACTTCATCCAATTTGTTTATTTACCAAATTGGATCAAAATTCTCCCCATCTCCTTTCGGAAATATTTTTGCTCATTATTTTAGCCCAATGTGTACCCTCACTACCCTTCTCAACACTTGACACGTGTCCATGAACCAAACCATAGTTAACTTTTTACTTTGTATTTATGAAACTATGGTTACGCCCATGAACAAAGTGTCAAATGTTGAGAAAAATGATGAGATCAGAGTACACCTTGAGTTAAAGTGGTGAACAAAAATGCTCTCTATCCTTTCCCTCCTAACATGCCACACCCTCAAACTTCTATAAGTCAGCTCACCATTGCAAGTCTAGTAGTAAATTGTTATATCCTGTTTTTATTTTTATTATTTTTATTTTTTAACCAAGTGAAAATTGCAATTAGATTAACATCTATAAAATATAATCTCTCTCGTCTGGCACAAAGACCATTGATTTACAAGTTAATGCTATTTTTAACTATGCTAGACCCCGTTGGCAAGGCCAATACAAAGACTAACATAAGGATTTAGTGAAAATCTGTTTTCTATAGAATTGATTTCAACTGAGCATCATGAACAATTTTATTTGTCAAATCATATGGAGTTCATAACTATGATCGCTGATGAAATTGGTTAATTTTAATTTTGAGTTAAAATTCATGTTTCATTGTAAATCTATTTTCTACTAAGTTGATTTCAAAAGATGAATATATTTGGATCAAAACTAATTAGCCTTGCTGCATGAATTAAATACAATAGGGAGTGGACTGTTGTGGAATGTAGCTCATTTTCAGTCTTTGATATCTCTTAACTTTGTTACCCACAATACTTTGTTAACCACATCTACATATTACACACAGTATTACATATGATAAAAGACAGATAGAGGAATCCGGATTGTCCCGCATTGTCATCAACGAAACATTGTCAAATATAGGGGTGGGCGCGGTCCAGTTCGGTCCGGTTCTCACCTCAAACCGAAATTAGAACCAGTATTATTTAACCGGTCCAGTTTGGCCTAGTTTAGGCCAAAAAATTTTCAAAAACTGACCGGTTCGATTTTGATCGATTCCGGTTTTGAACTAGATTATTAATTTTTTATTATTTTAATTTTTTAAAAAAAATTAATTTTTTTTTAATAAAAATAGTATAATAAATAACTTATTTTTTTGGCTTAAAAATTAACAAATAATCCAATTCATACGTTTAAATTTTTTTGAAGTTGAACTTGGAAAAATAGTGATTATAAAATTTAAAATATGGCATTAGATTTTAAAAATTTGTAAAATATATATATGTCCGGTCCGGTGCGGTGAGGTGTAAAATCGGAACCAAAACCGGTTGGAATCGATTTGGTCTGGTTTCGGTCCGGTTTGTTGACTTTTTTGGCCAACTGATTTTTTTTCTGGTTTTTTTTCACCGGTTCGGTTCGGTGTTCCAGTTTTCCGGTCCCGATGCCCACTCCTAGTCAAATACTTATCGAAATTTTGAAAGAGGTCCCCAATAATTATTGAAGAAACAAAACAAAAAACAAACAAAAAAATTGGGCCCTCGCTTGATCAGAATGTCTTATATTGGGCCCTCGCAGGCTTCCAAATTTCTGGGCCTCTAATTTCTCAGTTTTCTCCACAACGCTCACAGTTAGAGCAGAGGCTGAGACCTCTCGCTCTTAACTCAAAACCCTAATGGAGAGCAACGAACGCTTCTACTCGCTAAATCCTAGCATTTGTGTGACAAGGCCACCGATTCTTTAAGAAGCAGATACATATATATACATATACCCTTTTGCCAAGCACCTTTGAAACTAAAAATTGGGGCAAAAAAGAGGATACCTTTAAGGCTCCACCAGCAATCCCTAACAGGCCTGAAGAAAGCAGAGGGCGCGAGGGAGGAAGAACAACATGGGTTACGATTCGTGTGATGAGGAAGTTTACGAGGAGTTTGGTAGGGGTAATCGATTTCCAGGGTTCATGTTTGGCAATGTCAATGAATCTGGTGATCTTGACGTCGATTATCTTGACGACGATGCAAAGGAACATCTTGCTGCGTTTTCTGACAAGCTCGGCCCATCTTTGATAAAACTAGATCATACGGATGTTGAACAAGAATATGATGGTGACAAGGCTGACAATGCAGTTGATTATTTTGATTTTGATGAGGATTTTAAGGAGGACCATGACCCCTTGTTGCCCAGAAACGAATATGATCTTTATGTTGATCAAGTCTCATTGGCTTCTTTGGGGCCCACTACCACCACAGGTTCTGTGTTTGATGATGAAAATTATGATGAGGAGGAAATTGAAGAGCAAGTGGAACATGATCATGTGGTTGCAACTGAAAACAAAGTTGATGTTGATGTTCAAACTATTTCCTTACCAGCTGAGGAGTGTCAAGTGTTTTCAGATAAAAGTTGCAATTTAACTCCCACTCCACTGCCAGTTCTATGCATAGAAGATGGATTGACCATCTTACGATTTTCGGAAATCTTTGGTGCAAATCATGATAGGCGTAGCTACTCCGTTCCTAAACATGGGCATATGAAATCCATGGATGTTTCTGATGATATTGTCGAAGATGACGAAGAAGAGGCATTCTTGCAAGGATTTCAGTCTTTGACAGTGAAACATGGCATCTCAGAGTCCTCATTCGAGGATGATGATTTGAACTTCACAAAATTAAAGGACTTGTGTTTCGTTGCTGAACCAATGAAACAGGATCTAACAGTACATGTTTCTGAGGAAAGGGAAAGGCAATCACCTTTGGTTTCTAAATTTTTCCCTCTTGATCAACAAGACTGGGAAGATGGAATTGTTTGGGGCAATTCTCCTATAGCAAGTGACAGTGACGTTGAGAGTTGTGAAATATCAGGACCTGATCATGAAGCCTCAGTTAAAAATGACACAGAACCTGATAATGGGCCACAAAATATGCTGCATAATAGCTCATCTAGTAATTCATCACTTACTTTCTCAGCAAGCAGATGTCATCCCCAAATTTTGCGCCTAGATGTGGATGACAGTGCAGACAGTACAAGGCAGAATGCTGGTGAGAAGCTTCAACAGAGTGATGGTGTGAGGCAATTAATTCGCAAACTTGCTTCACAAAACCAGGACATGCTGGAAGGATCTTGGTTAGACCAAATAATATGGGACCCTGATAGTGATACACCTACTGAGAAGCCAAAGCTTATCATTGATCTTCAAGATGAGCAAATGCTTTTTGAGGTTTTGGATAACAAGGACAGTGAACATCTAAGGCTTCATTCAATGGCCATGATGGTATCTCGCCCTCTAAAGCCGAGCAATGGTGATTCTTTTGAGCTGATAGATAATGAAGGTCAATGTGGTTGGCAAGATGTTGCAAGTGATAGATATTATTCAAAGAGCAAAACTGCTTATCAACCGAAATCAAATTCTAAAAAACACACAGCAAGAGGCATAAAGGGTTATCAATCCCAACCTGCACTGGGGAAGAAAAAGTCTGCTGCTTGTCGAGGACGCACCACTGTTACTGGAGCAGATCATACTGATCCGCGCAGACTAAGCATGGAGGCTGCACGAGAGGTTCTTCTTAGATTCGGTGTTTCTGATGAACTGATTGCGAGGCAGACTAGATGGCATCGGATTGCAATGATAAGCAAGCTTTACAGTGAGCAAGCTGCATCTGGGGTCAAAGTTCAGAGTTTTTCTTCAGCCATAGGTGGGGATGAAAATGAGAATGGCTGTGAAGGAAATAATGGCGATCTAGATTCTTTTGCGGGCAATTTGGAAAATCTGCTTGATGCAGAAGAATGTGATCAAGAAGGTCAAGGCCTGGGAGATGATCATGAATCCAAGCATGATAAACCGGATGGTGCCAAAGGGCTTAAAAAGAGAAGCCGGCCATCCATCCCTCAGACAGAAGAGGAAATTGAAGATGAAGCAGCTGAACAAAGCAGGCTGCTCATGGATGATGATAAGACTGCGAGGAAGAAGAAGAAAGTAAGATTTGTGGAGGAGGAAGCAGGGTTGGCTTCTGGCTCGCAAACATGTTTTGGTATCGAAAATCCAGAGAGGCCAGTGAAGCAAATCATTGGTGCAGCCAAAGCTAAGGGATCCTATGCTTCAAAAGAGAATCCAGTTGGAGATGCAAAAGTTGCTGGTAATCTTCCCAAAATAAACAAGACTGGAAAATGTAAAGGAATTAGAAATACTGATACTGCTGAAGGTACAGATCTGATGAATAAGAAACTGATAATATCAATAAATGGAGATAAGGGGTTTCAGGAGAAGAAGTCAGCGAGACAGAGTTTCAACTGTGGAGCATGTGATCAGCCTGGACACATGAGAACAAACAAGAACTGCCCCAAGTATATTCATGGAGAAGATATCCATAGAGCTTCTCAAAAATCGGCTACTCTAAATCCATCTTGTCAATCTCAGCTGAAAACAAGGGCAAAGGAGCTGATACCTAAAAGCTCTGCAACTAAAATTTCGGTGATCGAAGCTTCCCAGGTTGAAAACCTTGGTCTGAGCACAAAGCTTCCTAGATTGAAATTCAAATGTGGGCCTAACAAAATGAAGTCTGAAAATGTGCCAGTTGAACCCCCTAGTGTGAACCATGATACCGAATCACAAAAGGCAACTGTTGCTATACAGGCACCAGCAAATACAGATAGAGAAGAGGTGGAAAGTTCCCAACAGAAAGAGCTGCATCGATATCATAAGAAAATTGTAATTAAACTTCCAAAAAAAACTATTGATTTTAGATCATGATCATCAGGTCGATTTGCGTAAAGAAAATATACAACTTTAACTTCATC